AAAAAAAAAAAAAAAAAAAAGAATGTCACAAGACAAAAAGGTCAGTACTGTACATAACATGGTACATGTCACTATCTGTGAAGTTAGGTCTACTCTATGCTTAGTCATAATCCTAAACATTATCTTGATTAAGTTATTGCAAAGTTTAATTAAGAAAATTATCTGTTGCAGCATTATATACTGCTTACCACTACAAGGATTTCCAGGAAGCAAAAATAGTGTTATATTTTCCTTCACCAAGAGTAAAGGAGTTGGTCACCACAAAAGTAAGAGTTCTCAAAACAAAATCTATACTAATTACTGTCCTCTACCACAGAAGTCATATTTCAATATTCAAAAAGTAATTACTCAACTGTCATACTGCCACAGCCTCCACAGAAACACTGGCAGGACCTGAGCCTCCAATTTTTTGCAAGTGAGAGCCCTACAGTCCTGCTGTGCAATGAGTCTATGACCCCTGCTTCTCATAACAGCTCCTCAATGCATCCAACTTAGCGTAGACTCCTGCAGGAACTTAGGACAGTCTTTTCCCAACAAACTAGCATTTATCAGTCAACAGGAATATCAGAATACGTAAGTTAGAACAGAAAAGGTACTCTTACCAAGTATCCAAGATAAACACTCTTCACTGCACCAGGGAGCTGCATACACCTCAGTTCCTCGTTTCAAATTCCTGTTCTATTGAATTCACATGGTCTTTTCTCCTCAACCCTATAACTCAAGCAGATGACTTTGAAAGTCCTGGTGGCCCAAGAGGTGTCAGTGGCTAGGTCAACACTCCCCTTCCCTGAAGAGAGCTACCCTGGAGCCATCTACTTGTCTGGTACTCTTATGCCCTTAATTCTTTCATTTCTAGGGGATGGTTTCCTCCATTTATTTTTGTATGGAGTCATATGTCATAAAAAGGAATATTTACCAGGGAATCCACACCTTCATCTTGCTCCCAGCTAACAGCTTACAGCATATTTTCCCCCAAAACACTGCATTTGTCAAAAGGTGAAAAATAAGTTTTTAAATCTGTAGCGCAATTATCTTTTTATAACGTTCCTAAAGATCGCAGTAGTGGGATGTCTTGGGGAGGGTGGAGGAAAAAAAAGCCTAAATGTCAGTTCAGATTAAGTGAAAGCAAGGTCCTAATATCCTGTATAAGTGGAGCCAGAGCCTTCCCTCAGGCAGTGCATGTCATTAGGAAGAATTATTTTGAGCAACCTGACTAAAACAACTATCAGAGCTGATATCATAAATCTAGAAACTGGCTATGGCAAGATTCAGAAAAATATATTTCTACCAAGCATTTCAGAGAAGGCTTTTTTGTAATTTTTTTTTTTTTTTTTTAAATAGGACGAGATTGACCACAAGGGCGCCACAATGCACACCAAAGGAAACCTCTGAGTTCTAGTTTAATCTCTGGCAAGATCTTTAGTCAAAAATAGAAGTTATCCTTTTATAAAGAAATTGGGCATAGACAAATTCCTGTTGAAAGCTGATATTTTACCGAATTACAGACTTGTGTTTACACACATACCAGATAACCACATATTTCATTTAACTGCACAACACTGGATCAATCCATTTTTCCACTAAACTTGTCACAAAGTAAGCAAATCTGCCTATTGGTTAAGTATATAAAGCTCTAAAGTGCATAAGAAAAACATAAGTGTACTTGCTTCAATTGTACAATCTGTGAGGTGCCAAAACAGCCTTGAACTGATTAGGTTCTAGCAATTTTAGGGCTTCTATTAGAGGTAATAAAGTACTCTGAGAAATAAGGTAAGAAGCCTTCGAGGTACATAAAGCTTAGCACAAGCTGTTCCTGTAGTTAATGAGCAATGCTTGCATTGAGTTTAGATAAGTGCATACTCGACAAGTGCATAGCCGTTTTTCAGTCCCATAAATCAATATGATAGGATAATGACTACAAGATTAAAATGTCCCTTCTAAGTGAAGATTTAAAAAGCATACACAGAATTTCATTTCTCACTCAAATGGTCCAAGAGCACAGTCTTTCCCCTTTTTCTCCCACAGCCCTTCAATCCACTGATTTTCTCTTAAGTATTCTCCAGCAGAAGAATAAAGACTAAAATTAAGCAAGAATTGTGCCAACAGATAAAACAACTTGATTTTTACCACCAGCATGCCCCTCTTTCTAAAAGGGCTCTCTCTAATTTCAACAGTTACCATCAACAAAAAGTTCCTTTATAGCCCAAGTCAGGGCTGTCCAACTGGTAAGCCTATGGGCCACATACAGTCCATAAAGGATTAAGTTGCTCCCCTGGGGCTCCAGTCCTACCCTTGCTCCTTGTGCACAATGGTAGAGGGGTGCGCAGTGTGGGAGGGGGAGGCACAGGAGCATTTGGGAACACACAAAATCATGTGCAGATAGTTAAGAAATGAGTTGAGCTCAGCTAAGGCATAAACAGATTTGTATTCTGAAACAAAAAGTGACAGTGATGGTAGTAAAATTTTATTTTCAAAATGCAAAAAAAGAAAGACCCTTCCTACTAGGAAGAATTCCTTGCTAGACTCTGGAGTGTGAGCATGACCAAGACCAGCAGCAATTCCAAAAAAGTAATAAAAACTGGTGAGTGACGAGATTACCTACAAGACCAAGAGAAGTAGCCAAATTAAGCTGACCAAGAGCAATGGAAGAACAAGGCATATCAGCAAAATTGTTCCCGAGGCAAGGGACTGGTGAGGTACAAAATGGCTAATCGTTTCCCTACCCCCAAAAATCACTGAAAAACTAAGGAGGCTACTAAAATAAGAGTCCAGGATCCTTTTAGTACTGGAAAAATGTTTTTCATTTTTAAAGAAAGACAACATCCAGCTAACATGTAAGTGACAAGACAGTCTGCTTTCTTATCCATGAAATAAGGTAAGCACCCATACATTTGAAATACTATGCAAACAACTCACGCCATTTTAGTTTTTCATTGCAAACACTTCATGTATTACAATACTTACATTTTGTTTAATGAAGGAAATGAGATATTCATGGTGCACATACTGCATGGTGTCATAAACCTCAAAAAATTACAATAAAACCTCTTTCTGATAATTACCTGCTAACCTCCAAAACTTCTAGGCCAAGATTTTCAAAAACAGAACCTCATCTTAGGTTTCTACATTTTGATTTAGGGACTTCACGCAGTGAACTGACTGATTCTTTACAATGCTATGAATATCACCATCATATGCTTTTACCAATTGACTTTTGGTCCACAAATGTTAAAGTCAATACCATAACTAACTTAGATACAAAACAGGTTGCAAAGAGAGAGGGCCACAACATTTAATATTTTACTATTTGATTTTTTTTTTAAGTAATTAGAACAAACAAAACTGACCAAAATACTTTCTCTATCCAAAGTGAAAAAGCAAAAAGAGTAAGCATGAAAAGCATATTTGAAGTTAAATAGATATATATTTTTATAAGATTACATGCCATGAAAAAGGTCACAAGTGCCACTTCCAAACAACTGCAAAATATTACCAGAAGGTGCAGCAGTATAGAAATGCCCATCAAAAAACAATTACATTTCACTTGCAAGTAATCATAGAGGAACTAGCTGCATTAGATAGTATTAAAAGACCTATCTCCTTAGCAAAAATGTTTACTGTTACTTGCTTCATACAGCATGTCAGCTGTTCAGAATACTTATAAGCTCTCTCAAAGATGGGAACATGCAGCGTCATATGAACAAGTGTTTAGATGCATGTTCTCAAAAATAACATTTGTATAAATGTTCAGAGATGCATCATCAGTCAATTAAGGTGAATCATGCAATGCCTCATTCTAACAGAAGTACTCCAATTCTAAAAGAGAAAGAGCATTTTACGTTACCTAGTTTTTATGTTAAATAATTGATAAAAGTAATACCAACAGAAGCATGATCGTTCAATCACATGGAGACTATAAACCATTAAGATGCATTATATAGTACAGCATGTATTTAACTCTAAAAGGAATTAAGTATGTGAGTAACTCCTCAGAGAGCCAACTAAAAGGTTCAGTGGTACATAATTCAACAGCTACAGCTCTAAAAAAGGAAAATACCCCAGTTTCAAGTTTAATATGGATGAAACCTCACTGTCTAGTTTTATTTTAAGTTTCATGTTTAAAATTAAGACGCACACACAAAAATTGAATTTTTATTCTGTATTGCAACTCACAAGAAATTTAATTGGGTACCAACAGAATATTTTCAAGGAGAGAACTCAAAAGAAAAAGACACCTGTGATTAGTAAAGATAAAGTTCATTTTTTTTAGTTTCCTTTTTTTAAAAGAAAAACAAACAAATTGGGTGATGCATTTTCTTACAAAATTGAAAAAACAAAAACCATTGTCCTTACCTGGATGGTTTTGGGAGCTCATTGCTAATAATAATGTCTAGTCCTTTTGAGAAGGGATTCAAAATGGATCAGTTTCCACTCCAGTAACAGCAGCCCTAAAGAGCTCCAATGCTCCACCAATACATAGAAATATACAGAGTGGGAATTAAATCATAACCACCATATAAAATCCAGAGCAGAATGACATTCTGTGCTGTAAACAAAGTAATCCAACAGGATGGCAGAATATCTTCTAATGGCTTTCAAAACGTGAACCTGTAATTAGAAAACATGGTTGTATTAGAGAACTGGGTTTCTTACAGTTACTGCAGTTATACAACAAGCGGTCTGCTGTTTCTTAAAGAGAATTTTTAAATTATGATATCATGTAAGAGTAACTGACATGTTCTTGAAAAGCAAATTGAATTTTTTTGGTTGGGGAAAAAAAGCCCTACAAAGACTGTGTGTAAAAACTTCAGGAAAAAACCAAATAAATATAGTAATAGAAATCCTCTCACTAAACATTTGCACTTAAAAAACTTAGGGTTTTTTTTTTCTTTAATTAAGCTGGATCTTTCAACAGTACTATATAAAACCACTTAATTACCAATAGCTTCCATATTTTAACAGCCATATGTATGAGTAGTATCTGCTCTTCATCCATCTGTTCATTTGCCTTACCAGAAATCCAAAGAAAAAATTCTGAATGGCAGGACACCATGTTTCATTCCAAGCTATGGGGAAAACAAGTCTTCAGACATTAAAAGAAAAATGCAACAACAGTTAGTATTCTCTATTGAGAAAAAAAAAGTAACACTGGTTTGAAAAAAAAAAAAATCAGCTGTTTTTAATCTTCTGTTTAAGTTCAACCCCCCAAGAATATAATTATATATGTTCCACCATTATGTCCAGTATAGTTTGAAGGACCATCTGCAGTCATGCAACTTATAATACTTTCACAGGAAAATTCTGCAAGAAGTTTACTCTCTCTCAATTTCTTAGATCATTTCTGTTCAAGATTCTGTTACTTATTTGTGCCACCAAAGCAGCATTCTTCATCTACTACACCTTTCAAGTATTTGTATTTTCCAGACAATCCTGGTCTTCACAAACAGTTTGTACTAGTATGACTATTTAGATTAGGGGCATAATTTTCTTGCAGTATAGCATATACCAATATGAACAGCAGCATAGATGCTGTTATTCCTCTCCCCATAGAGGAATATGCACTTTTTGTACCAATATAAACACCCATGCTACAAGTTGAAACAGTATATATTTTGTTGATATAAATTTGCAGTTTAAGTTATAGCCTTGTTGAATAGTAATCTTAGGCAATTTCTGGAGATCTTAACTCCTGGCCATTAACAACTTTTAAGTGGTTTAAAGCACTCATTATTCATCTATGACACTCCAGGGTAGGATTATCTCCATTTAATCTACCTAATTTTGCTCCTGTTCCATTAAGGTATGCCCACTTTCCACAGCTACCCTGCCCAATTTGAAGTCCTCCAGCATCCCAGGATGCAATGGCCCCTCTCGACTCAGGTCCAGTTGGGCTTTCAGGGTGCAGCAGGATTGGGCACAGCACCTCCCCCCGGGGAACATCAGAGCAAGTGCTGCAGCTCCGGAGCACCTGGTGGCTACAGTGCTTCCCACTACAACTTGGACTGGCTCGCTGCTCCCACCCACAGTGAAGCACAGGGGAGAGGAAAGCTCTGGAGAAAAAAAAAAAAAAAAA